TTATCAGTATAAAAGACACCTGTCCACATCCTCAAACAGTCACACTCCAAACTCCACTATGGCCAAAACCAAAGAGCTGTCAAAGGACACCAGAAACAAAATTGTAGACCTGCACCAGGCTGGGAAGACTGAATCTGCAATCGGTAAGCAGCTTGGTTTGAAGAAATCAACTGTGGGAGCAATTATTAGGAAATGGAAGACATAAAAGACCACTGATAATCTCCCTCGATCTGGGGCTCCACGCAAGATCTCACCCCGTGGGGTCAAAATGATCACAAGAACGGTGAGCAAAAATCCCAGAACCACACGGGGGGACCTAGTGAATGACCTGCAGAGAGCTGGGACCAAAGCAACAAAGCCTACCATCAGTAACACACTACGCCGCCAGGGACTCAAATCCTGCAGTGCTAGACGTGTCCCCCTGCTTAAGCCAGTACATGTCCAGGCCCGTCTGAAGTTTGCTAGAGTGCATTTGGATGATCCAGAAGAGGATTGGGAGAATGTCATATGGTCAGATGAAACCAAAATAGAACTTTTTGGTAAAAACTCAACTCGTCGTGTTTGGAGGACAAAGAATGCTGAGTTGCATCCAAAGAACACCATACCTACTGTGAAGCATGGGGGTGGAAACATCATGCTTTGGGGCTGTTTTTCTGCAAAGGGACCAGGACGACTGATCCGTGTAAAGGAAAGAATGAATGGGGCCATGTATTGTGAGATTTTGAGTGAAAACCTCCTTCCATCAGCAAGGGCATTGAAGATGAAACGTGGCTGGGTCTTTCAGCATGACAATGATCCCAAACACAACGCCCGGGCAACGAAGGAGTGGCTTCGTAAGAAGCATTTCAAGGTCCTGGAGTGGCCTAGCCAGTCTCCAGATCTCAACCCCATAGAAAATCTTTGGAGGGAGTTGAAAGTCTGTGTTGCCCAGCGACAGCCCCAAAACATCACTGCTCTAGAGGAGATCTGCATGGAGGAATGGGCCAAAATACCAGCAACAGTGTGTGAAAACCTTGTGAAGACTTACAGAAAACGTTTGACCTGTGTCATTGCCAACAAAGGGTATATAACAAAGTATTGAGAAACTTGTGTTATTGACCAAATACTTATTTTCCACCATAATTTGCAAATAAATTCATAAAAAATCCTACAATGTGATTTTCTGGATTTTTTTTCTCTAATTTTGTCTGTCATAGTTGACGTGTACCTATGATGAAAATTACAGGCCTCTCTCATCTTTTTAAGTGGGAGAACTTGCACAATTGGTGGCTGACTAAATACTTTTTTTCCCCACTGTATCCACATAATTTTCCTTCCTCATGATGCCATCTATTTTGTGAAGTGCACCAGTCCCTCCTGCAGCAAAGCACCCCCACAGCATGATGCTGCCACCCCCGTGCTTCACGGTCGGGATGGTGTTCTTCGGCTTGCAAGCCGACCCCTTTTCCCTCCAAACATAACGATGGTCATTATGGCCAAACAGTTCTATTTTTGTTTCATCAGACCAGAGGACATTTCTCCAAAAAGTACGATCTTTGTCCCCCTGTGCAGTTGCAAACCGTAGTCTGGCTTTTCTATGGCGGTTTTGGAGCAGTGGCTTCTTCCTTGATGAGCGACCTTTCAGGTTATGTCGATATAGGACTTGTTTTACTGTGGATATAGATACTTTTGTACCTGTTTCCTCCAGCATCTTCACAAGGTCCTTTGCTGTTGTTCTGGGATTGATTTGCACTTTTCGCACCAAAGAACGTTCATCTCTAGGAGACAGAACGCGTCTCCTTCCTGAGCGGTATGATGGCTGCGTGGACCGATGGTGTATATACTTGCGTATTATTGTTTGTACAGATGAACGTGGTACCTTCAGACATTTGGAAATTGCTCCCAAGGATGAACCAGACTTACATTTACATTTTACATTTACGTCATTTAGCAGACGCTCTTATCCAGAGCGACTTACAGTTAGTAAGTGCATACATTTTTCATACTGACTTGTAGAGGTCTACAATAATTTTTCTGAGGTCTTGGCTGATTTCTTTTGATTTTCCCATGATGTCAAGCAAAGAGGCACTGGGTTTGAAGGTAGGCCTTGAAATACATCCACAGGTACACCTCCAATTGACTCAAATGATGTCAATTAGCCTATCAGAAGCTTCTAAAGCCATGACATCATTTTCTGGAATTTTCCAAGCTGTTTAAAGGCACAGTCAACTTAGTGTATGTAAACTTCTGACCCACTGGAATTGTGATACAGTGAATTATAAGTGAAATAATCTGTCTGTAAACAATTGTTGGAAAAATGACTTGTGTCATGCACAAAGTAGATGTCCTAACCAATTTGCCAAAACTATAGTTTGTTAAAAATACATTTGTGGTGTTGTTGAAAAACAAGTTTTAATGACTCCAACCTAAGTGTATGTAAACTTCAGATTTCAACTGTATATATTTATTTTCTATATTTTTTATTATTATTCGTTTTGTTTATACTGGAACCATGTCGTCCAAAAAGTTATACTTTTGAATCATCTGTCCATAGAACGTTCTTTCAAGAGTCTTGATGATCATCCAGGTGCTTTTTGGCAAACTTGAGTCAACTTTTTGGACGAGATGGGTCCCATTATGCCTGGCGAAAACCAAACACTGCATTCCACAGTAAGAACATCATACCAAAGTTCAAGCATGGTGGTGGTGGTGTGATGGTTTGGGGATGCTTTGCTGCCTCAGGACCTGGACGACTTTCCTTAATAGAAGGAACCATGAATTCTGCTCTGTTACAGAGAATTCTACAAGAGAATGTCAGACCATCCGTCTGTGAGCTGAAGCTGAAGCGCAGCTGGGTCATGCAGCAAGACACACAATCAAGTCTACATGACAATTGCTAAAAAGCAACAAATTGGAAGTTTTGGAATGGCCTAGTCAAAGTCCAGACCTAATCCCAATTGAGATGTTGTGGCAGGACTTGAAACGAGCAGTTCATGCTTGAAAACCCACACGTCACTGAGTTAAAGCAGTTCTGCATGGAAGAGTGGGCCAAAATTCCTCCACAGCGACGTGAGAGACTGATCAACAACTACAGGAAGCATTTGGTTGGAGTCATTGCAGCTAAAGGTGGCACAACCAGTTATTGAGTGTAAGGGGGCAATTACTTTTTCACACAGGGGAATTGGGTGTTGCATAACTTTGTTTATGAAATAAATATGTAATTGTTGTGTTATTTGTTCACTTATGTTCCCTTTATCTAAAATTAGGTTTTGGTTGAAGATCTGATAACATTCAGTATCACAAATATGCAAAAGTAGAGAAAATTAGAAAGGGGGCAAATACTTTTTCATAGCACTGTATATATATATTTTCCAACAGCTGTTGCATAGGATAGTATTAATGTAACTTGTTGCTGTATTTAGGTTGTTACTGTCCATTATGTTCTGTCTTTATCTACTTTTAAAAACCAATCAAAACAATTACAATAATAATAATGTCCGGAATGGAGTGAATCACTCCATTCCAGCCATTAAACTCCATTCCAGCCTCCACTGATCTCAAGCTCAACCTCGACAAGACGGAGCTGCTCTTCCTCCCGGGGATGGCCTGCCTACTCCAAGACCTCGCCATCACGGTTGACAACTCCACAGTGTCCCCCTCCCAGACTGCAAAGAACCTCGGTGTGACCCTGGACAACACCCTGTCGTTCTCTGCAAACATCAAAGCAGTGACTCGCTCCTGCAGGTTCATGCTCTACAACATCCATAAAGTACGAACCTACTTCACACCGGAAGCGAAGCAGGTCCTTTTCCAGGCACATGTCATCTCCCGTCTGGACTACTGCAACTCGCTGTTGGCTGTGCTCCCCGCTTTTGCCATTAAACCCCTGCAACTTAACCAGAACGCTGCAGCTCGCCTGGTGTTCAACCTTCCCAAGTTTTCCCATGTCATCCCGCTCCTCCGCACACTCCATTGGCTTCCAGTCGAAGCTCGCATCCACTACAAAACCATGTTACTTCCCTACGGAGCAGCAAGATGAACTGCCCCTCCCTACCTTCAGGCAATGCTCAAACCCTACACCCCAACCCGAGCACTCCGTTCTGCCACCTCTGGTCTCTTGGCCCTCCCACCCCTAACGGTGCTATCAAGCTAGCCAACTTTAGCCAGTTAACTTGGGTGCTTCACTTCTGTTTTGAGGTCAGAACGCTCAGATCAACCCTACTCCTCAGCCAGAGCGTCCAGTGTGCGCTTTGAACGCTCCAAGAGCAAAACGCTCTGAATTTATAACAGACGATCTGACAACGCACTGAATTTACGAATGACCGAGAGCGCACTCTGACATATTGGAGGCAATTTATGAATGCACCCTGAGAGAAGCGAGAACGCGCGGTCGACAAGTATAGAAAGCAGTTGCTTCGCGAGGTATCTCTTCCCGAAAATAAATGATCTTAGTGATTGATAGTTGGAATTCAGCAGTCATATAAGTATGCCTTATTTACTTTGAATAACTACTAAAATATTGGTTTTGTCAGACAACATAGGCAGCAACTCTATAGAGATGAGATGATGACTTGGAATGAAATAATAAAGTCATCTTTATAAAACAAATATTTTATTAAAGTAAAGTAATGTGAATAAATTATGGTAAGTGATCAGCACTAATGTTCAGTCACAACCATTAATTGTTTTTTTTACATGAATTGCTCTGTTCTGTGTTGTTACAGCATTCAACCCACATAATGCATACATTTAATGTCTACCTTTTTTTTGTAATAATCGAACCGAAACCAAAGCAACCTCAAAAAGCACTAATCACTCAGCACTATAGTACATCCACAAGCAATGCAGAGTGGGGCAGTATTATTTTATTTTCTGATCTAATTTGTAAATTAAGAGACTACCTCTTGAATTTCAACTACATATCCCACAACTGTCTCTTTATTATTAAACGTTTCACCCCCTGGCAGTTGACGTGTGGCAAACGTCGTCATTGCGCAGATTCCGTTTGAACCAAAAGCGGAGTGACCTTCCTCGAGAGGAGCAGTATTGAAGCAATAATCCGATGATAGCACACCCGTTCCCTGCACTAGCCTTAGAAATGAACAGCAATTTAGCCGGAGATGAAGTTGGGTAAGATGTGATCTCAACCTAATTAATGAGAATTAGTTAAATAAGTATACACTCCTTTGCATTTTAACTTCAATCAATGAATTACTGTGATAGATCTCACCCGCATCACCACTTTTACTCAGCTAGCATTTTGATATGTATAACTAACGTTACTGGTAACTGACGTCAGCTAGCTAGTTTGAACGTTAGTTGACTTTAGCCTAGCTAGCTAATAATAATTTGGAAACATGCATGACATTGGTTTAGGTAACTAGATAGCTAGTCAAAAGTAATGTTTAAATGGTGTCATTGAATAATTAATTGAAATACTCAAATATTCAGCTAGTTAGTTAGCTAGCTAGATAAATAGAAACCGAAACGAGTTGGCTCGCTAGCGTTAGCAGCTAACGTTAACATTAGCTAGTTAACGTTACAATGTTAGCGGCTAACTAGCAGCTAGCTAGCAAAGTGGTGAAGTAAAAATATCCGCACGGGTAACGCGTTACCATCAGGAGTCGACACTTTACTATCTTCGTGTTGTAAAGTAGCCAATTTATTTTATTTTGAGTGTGTTGGTACAAGTTTGATTGAAGTCGACAGAATATAACGTTGGTTAACAGTACAGGCTCCAAAAAAAATTACCAGAATCTAGCTAACTTTTTCAGTTGTTGCTGGTGAGAGCTTTATTGCTCTGTTACTCTTGAACTTGAGAGAGGACTGACTCTTCAGGGCATAAGATTGAGAGCATTGTAATAATAATGGTTTGATCCATCAACATTATCCATATCAAAATATAGTTGAGGCAATGGTATCTTGCCTAGTTTTAACTGGCAGCATTTAGCTAGCTGAAGAGTAACTAATGTCAAATTTGTGGCTAGTTAGTGAACGCTCTTTCAAGTTCTATGCATAATGTATTTTAGCTAGCTAACGTTAACTAGCAGACGTTAGTTAGTAAACGTTAGTAGTTAAGCTAAAGTTAGCTGATATCTTCGCTTGCCTGGGTTATGTTAGCCTGTATACGTGGCATAAGGATGCAAAACAAGACCTGAAGTGGTGTCGGTGCGAAACAAGTCACCCTTATTCCAGTATTTGAATAGAAAACAAGGTTTGTTGATATGCATCATCAGCAGCTTACAAAAACATACCCGCAGTAAAACAACTTCATCTATTGTGAGGTTACATTACAATTATATGTGGCACAGTCAGTTTTCACATGTTAACGCATCAGAACCATTTGAGAATGTGTTATTGTGTCCAAGGAATGATGGACCATCTCAGGTGTTGCTTAAAGCCAAAGGAATGCTTATTTTTCTCATTTTATAGGAAACTGTTTGTTGGTGGCTTGGACTGGAGTACAACACAGGGTGAGTCAGCTGTCTACATACCAACCAGTCAATATTAGGCGTATTGCAGTGCACATACTGTTGTGCTTGAAGGTGTCTGCATGAAAATGTTATTCTGGAGTACCAAAGGGTGGCATGTTATTGTTTATTGTAATTTAAGTATACATGCAGGCTTTTCTCAGTTGCTCAGATCTTTTCTCAGTTGCTCAGATCTGAGTTTGTCTGTAGCTACAGGCATTCAGAGTCCTTCTCTGTTTCATGCTTGATTGGGCAGTGTGTGTCTTTGCACCGCACTCTTCACTCTGACAGTGTTTTCTGAAGTTATGAGCACTAGCCACAGTACTATGTGTTTTTGTGCACCCTTCCTTGGTATTGCCTTGGGGCTTTCAATGACAAGAAAAGCAATTTTAAGAATTCTATGTGATTGTTATGACAAAATGTGTTGAAAGCTCGATGCCCTGCCTCCAAAGATGCATGCGTGTCATGCTTTTTAATGCACAATGTTTTGTTTTATGTACTGTTTTATCTCTGTTTGGACCCCAGGGAGAGAAGCTGCTGCCTTGGCAACAGCTAATGGGGATATTAATGAAATACTAAATACTTTGCATTCAGTGAACTTTGAAACACATTACCCATAATGTCAGGACACTAGGCTATGTATGTATCCCTAAAGGATCCTGTAATGGGATTGTCCCACTCATGTCAATGTCCTCTTTTCTATCAGAAACTTTGAGAAACTATTTCTCGCAGTATGGGGAAGTAGTTGATTGTGTCATCATGAAGGACAAAACCACGAATCAGTCGCGGGGCTTTGGTTTTGTCAAATTCAAAGACCCCAACTGTGTCGGGACTGTACTGGAGACCAAACCCCATAATCTCGATGGCAGAAATGTGAGTATGCACTTTGCAGCTTGAATAAGGAAAGTCAAATATGTGTGTCTTATCAATTATGCCTTTTTTAAAGTGTTAGAATAATTAAGCACTGCATGGGAATGTGGACTTTTTCACTGAAGTATTACACAGAGATGATAGTCTGTGCAAGAGCAAGTAGTAGTGAACCCATAACACGCACTGGTATCTTCAGAAAACATAAGGCTGGCTCTCTGAAGGCCATCCATGGACATGAAAGCAGGCTGTTTGCCAAACAAGTGTTGCCTGTTCAGATGCCTATTAGTTGAACTAACATGTAACTGCAGTGGGCTGGACATGACATGCTTCATTTGCAGACAGTGCGTTTTGCTACAAGTTGCTCAATGCAGCAATATGAATAGGTCAATTTTGCCATAGTGAAGGTCATTCTCTTGTAATTAAACTTTGACTTATCATAATGTGAATTGTATAACACGTAATTTGTCATTTGTATGTGGCCTTATTGGGTGGGCTAATTCACCAGATAAATTGGAGGGAACATTTGAAGGTGCTTTTTCATTGAAGGGTGAGATGTACAATTTCATTCCTTGCCTTCAGATTGATCCCAAGCCATGTACTCCCAGAGGAATGCAACCTGAAAAAGTACGAACTAAGGACGGCTGGGTAAGGAGCGTATTTTATTTTGTGGGGGCTACATGTGTCCGCTATAGAAATAGGGCACCAAGCCTCGGTAGAATGGATTAAATTGTATCCTTTTTGTCCTTTGATAAGCTGAGGTCCTATCTGCCGCTAGAAATCTCATCTGTCACACTGAGGCTTATTGCTGTTAAAATGACTTCTGCTAATGAGCTTAAAATTTAATTGTTAGACTAAGTGATTCAGTAAAAAGTACCTAATGGCAGTCAGGCTACCTCTGGCGAGCACATGGAGGGCTGTGCGGCCCCCCAAAGAAATGCCACCCCACACCATGACTGACCCACCGCCAAACCGGTCATGCTGGAGGATGTTGCAGGCAGCAGATCGTTCTCCACGGCGTCTCCAGACTCTGTCACGTCTGTCACATGTGCTCAGTGTGAACCTGCTTTCATCTGTGAAGAGCACAGGGCGCCAGTGGCGAATTTGCCAATCTTGGTGTTCTCTGGCAAATGCCAAACGTCCTGCACGGTGTTGGGCTGTAAGCACAACCCTCACCTGTGGACGTCGGGCCCTCATACCACCCTCATGGAGTCTGTTTCTGACCGTTTGAGCAGACACATGCACATTTGTGGCCTGCTGGAGGTCATTTTGCAGGGCTCTGGCAGTGCTCCTCCTTGCACAAAGGCGGAGGTAGCAGTCCTGCTGCTGGGTTGTTGCCCTCCTACGGCCTCCTCCACGTCTCCCGATGTACTGGCCTGTCTCCTGGTAGCGCCTCCCTGCTCTGGACACTACGCTGACAGACACAGCAAACCTTCTTGCCACAGCTCGCATTGATGTGCCATCCTGGATGAGCTGCACTACCTGAGCCACTTGTGTGGGTTGTAGACTCCGTCTCATGCTGCCACTAGAGTGAAAGCACCGCCAGCATTCAAAAGTGACCAAAACATCAGCCAGGAAGCATAGGAACTGAGAAGTGGTCTGTGGTCACCACCTGCAAAACCAGTCCTTTATTGGGGGTGTCTTGCTAATTGCCTATAATTTCCACCTGTTGTCTATTCCATTTGCACAACAGCATGTGACATTTATTGTCAATCAGTGTTGCTTTCAGTTTGATTTCCCAGAAGTGTGATTGACTTGGAGTTACATTGTGTTGTTTAAGTGTTCCCTTTATTTTTTTGAGCAGTGTATATATACTAAGATGATATGTACAGCAGAAGATATTACAGTGAGCTATGTCAAGATTCAATTATATAAATACAGGTGGTATAAACAGTGTAACAAAAATGCAACGTACAGTAGTAGAGATATTAGAATGATCTATGTGAAGAATACACTATATGAATACACAGTGTGAAAAACAGTATAAAAGAAATGGTCCAGTGTTTAATGTCTTTATATACATGGGACAGCAGCGTTGGGTGTGGGTGAGTCTATCTTTGTCTCTTACTACAGGAGTACTACTCACTTACTACAGAGGATGGTGTGATGGCTGTTCAACAGCCTGATGGCCTGGAGATAGAAGCTGTTTTTCAGTCTTTTGGTCCTGGCTTTGATGCACCTGTACAGATTCTCGATCTGGCTTTGAGATCCCATTCTTTGTTTCAGAAGGGCAGCAAAGCTGACAGCAATAAATCAAAGAAGATATTTGTCGGCGGAATCCCCCATAACTGTGGTGAACCTGAACTCCGGGACTATTTCAATAGATTTGGAGTGGTAAGTCCTGTTAAAATGGTGTATACTGTATTGTATAGCTTTTGTATTAAGAAATGTTTCTTAATACCTAAAACAGCTTAAATGTGTTGACCACGATCCAATACAGGAACTGCTTATTGGAAGACTACAGGAAAAGTAGTATTTTCTGTTAAAATGCCATCAATATGAGGAGAGGATATTGATATAATGTGTTAGTTTTCCAACAAAGATGCATGCAATGGCAATAATAGCGGGTTTTTTCTGTATCCTAATGCAGCCCATTTTCTCCTTTGTTTAAGGTCACAGAGGTGGTAATGATCTATGACGCGGAGAAACAGAGGCCCCGAGGTAAAAGCTGATCCCGTTTTTCTCTTCCATACCTCCCATCTCTAAATCTCATGACAAACTATTCTGCCCCAAAGAGAATAAGTGCATTCAATCCCCCCTCCCCCTCACCCTCAATTATAACTAGACCCCCCTGCGTCTTCTGGTGGAACATCTTGTTCGTCGTTCATTCACAGGCTTTATAATGGATGCCACCCTTAAATACTGAAAGCTTTCCCCGTGCAGTCATATTTACATGGTGAGAAAGTTGAGATGACATTGGCATGAATTTCAAACATCTTCCCTTGACTTTGTGTGACCGGATCAGCTTTTGATGTTTTCGTTCTATTTAGGGACATGCTAACACACTAGTAATACATGTAGTTTGAAATAAATTAGCTTCATCATGATGACTATACAATATCTTGATATCAGTTTAGATGGCTTATGTTCTGATTTTTATTTTTTTGGATTATTTACGGTGCATGAAATAGATTGAAATAAGACAAACTTTGACCATTTGAATAAAGTGTTAACATTCCTCTTTTTGGAGTACATTGAGTTAAATGCTGAAATGGCAGAACTTCACCAGCGTAGTGCTAGAAAAAAAAAAAAATGTTAGGGCCCTATAAAATCTGCAATATGGAAAACGTGGACGCAATCCAGACAATAAATTGGAATTCAACGATATAACTTTTTTGGTAGGGAATAAACTACATGTATTGAATTAATTAATTAGCACAAGTTCATCATAAGACATGAACAGAATTAATCAGTGATTCGTATTTCCTGCAACTTTCTGAAGAGTCAACGAGAATTCCCCGTCTGTGCGGTGCGCGTACCTACCATTTTGTTTCACCGTTAGCGACGATGCTAATGAAAAATCTTCTGATAGATGGAAAGGCTTTCCCAAAAACCTTCTCAATTAAATGTTAACTACAAGTAGCCTATGCTTACCTGGCAGAATGATATATCATGATTATTTGCATCAATCCAGTTTGCACTACAAAAACATCACTGAATAGCCTCTTGCTAGGTGCTCACTGGAATTAAAGGGTAACTACACCCAAAAATAGACATTTTTCCCAGACCTCAAGTGGTCTCCTGATGTTGTTTATGCAGTGTTGTGGACTTAGAACATCCAGTTTAGTTTTTTCTATTAGTGTGATTTTGAGAGGGAAAACCTTAAAAAACTGGGGGAAAACTGAAACCTGGGGGTGGGGAAAAGAATTCCTATGGCCCTAAATTATGCAGATGTTGGATGTTGTTCACTTTTTCATTATTCCAGAGTCGGTTCACATTTTTGAAATTGTTTTAAGTGGAAGTCCTTACTCTGTTCTATCTGTTAAATTAGTTGAGCTGCGTTTACACTGGCAGCCCAATTCTGATATTCTTTCCACTAATTGGTTTTTTCACCAACCACATCAGATCTTTCCACATCAGCTCTTTTTCAGAGCTGATCTGATTGGTCAAAAGACCAGAATTGATCAGAATTGGGCTGCCTGTGTAAACGCACACCTAGAATGACAAGACAAGCATGGGTGGATGTAGATTAGTCTGGTCAGTTAGCGCAGAACTGTTTAGCCTAGATATAGGCTACATTAGGTTGGTCAGTTTGCTCAGAGCTGATGCAGCAGTCAATGACTCACATCATTTATTACCCCTCTTCTACTTCAGTACCCATTGATCTCTTTGGGGAGACAAGCAGAATATTTTGTCATCCGAATTTACACGATGATACACAGCAATAACATTAACATAATCAAGCATAATACCCAGACTTTTCTTTTACTAAAACACTTTTAAGCTAAGTTTCCTTTCGTTTAATTTAGACTTCTTATTTTTTTTTTAAAAAAAATAATATATATATATATATATAAGTGTTTTCCCATATGTAGAAAGTGAAGTATTTTTGTAAGTATAAGCCCTTTCTATTTTTCTTTTCCTGTCCTCCTTCTCCTTGTGAATGGTTTTAATGTGATTAACGGTGTCTCTTAAGATTTGTCTTCTCTTTTAGGTTATTGTGTACTGAGTGGTATCACAGAGGTACAGGCCAGATGTTTGAACCAAAAATGGAATGTGCAGGCTGTCAATTTGGGGTGTATACAAAGTTTAGATTCATCATGGTTATGAACTTAGTTTTTTTGCACTGAGCATGACTTTGGGTTTTTGACACCTTTTTTTGAAAGATTGTCTAGGAATGTTTGCTTGCAAATGCTGAAACTAAGTTTTGAATCTAGATTAAGGACAGGTCATCGATGGATGATATTTATAGTTGTATATCAGGCGGCTTGGGAATGCTTTAAATAATATTAGAGGTTTCAAAATCTCAGTTGTCTCAAAGGACATTTAATTGGAATCAGGTTAGGTCCCAGAGTGGAGATTTTCTCACAACCCAATTCTGCCACTGGTATGACTTTATCAAAATGAAACTGGTTCAGTGTATTGGGCTATTGCTGCTGCATAACTGAAGTACTGTGAAAAGTTTATCACCACAACAAATCACCAGACTTTATCAGAACCAGGACATTTGCCAATGTTGGGCTCCTAAATGTACAATTCAATGAAGGATTCAATTACAGTGCTGTATATTCATAGGTTCAGCTAGAGCAACTTGTAATATCATGTAGGAACTGTAGTCAATGGGCTTAATGGTGTTTTTGCTAGATATTGGTGCATTGTTGGTGTTAGAAACATAAGCATTTCGCTGCACCTGCAATGACATCTGCGAAACTGTGTACGCCACCAATAAACACTTAGATTTTATTTGTTTGAATAACATCGGATCTATGCAGTTCAATGGAAAGCTATGCGAGGCTTCAGTCAGTCCCTTATCAAAGCCTTCATTTCAGTGTTTTTGTTTTATACAGTAAGTGTTGAATCCTTACACCATTGGGTTTTTCACCATGTTTGAAGGGAACTTTGTTTATCCCCCATGCAAACTCTTGACAGCATCATTAGTTGTTACTTACACATTCAGAAGACAAAATGGCCTATATCTTTGTGTTGCTGTTGTAAGCAATATTGTAATTTTCCATTTAGGCTTATCCTGGCTGACTCTAAACATAAAACCAAATTTGGGAAAGCTTGGAAAAAGCTTTAGACATTGTACAGTTTCTTTTTCTCCATTTTTTTTGTTATGCATTAACAATGGATGCTGCCAGTTTGTGCTGCACAGCAATATACCAAGGGGCAGATCAAGTTGGGGTTTGGATGAAATGAAGTAACATCAATACCACTGGTCCAATTGGCACCCAATGCATAAATGAATGCTCTGAGACCACTCAAGTGTGTCATGAAATCTATATAGTTTTCATATTCCTCAGTAGTTCCACTGACTGCACTGGATATAAATATATTACAATGATATAGAAATTACATTTTCAAACCCCTATATAATAAATGAATACAGTACAAGGAGACTTTGCTATGTTAGAAGTAAAAAAACAACAACTGAAACCCTAGTTAGTTGAGCATGGAAAGGATTGGTGCAAAGTTTATCTTGGATGATACAAGTGCCTCAGCCCTCAAACGTCAGCTTGTGTATTGCTGCAAGTCAGCGACATCATCTGAACCCCAGGAGCCTCCAGCTCAGTCTTGATGGATCCCTGTCTTGCTGAGCCCAATACTGTTCTTCATCTTGTGTTGTCACAACACCCTGCTACCTTGATTCACTCTTGGTCGTTGGCTAGGTTTTGGATTTATTACTTTCGAGGCCGAACAATCAGTGGACCAGGCTGTCAACATGCATTTTCACGACATCATGGGCAAAAAAGTGTGTAGTTGTAGTTTTATTTTACCCTCAAGATCAAACTGAGGCTTGGGCGACAGGAAGCATTGTTTGGCACTGTTAACGTTGAGTTACAGCTCTTATTTTCAGGGGCCACCAAAATAAGGTTGAAGGCCTAAAGCTCTTTTAAACTTCATATTTTAATGACATGGCTGAAGATCGCTGATATGTGGTACTCCAAAGGTTTTCCTAAAAGATCAGGTCACAATGTTTTTTCTGGATCACATAACATTTCAATGGCCTGGTTGACCTTACTCGGTCACCCCTCCTGAAATATTAGTGACAACTTCTGTAGTCGCCCAAGGCTTTGTTTATTTTGACCTCTCCTTTAGGTTGTAAAAGGTATTCCATATCTTACTTCAAACAATACTTGCTCTGGCTTTGGAGATTTAAGGGAGTGGCCAGTTTTGGATCATATAATGGGAGATGAGTTTAGCCTAAAACGCTTTATTTTACCACAAAGAAATCACCTAAAGGATTGGTCTTGTTCCTTTTTCTTTTTTGATTGTTTTGTTGGCAGGTCACTTACTTTTTGAGTTATTTGATATATTTCCTTGTCAACTTAAAAATAACAACCTAAATTAAGTGACCTCAGTTTAAGAATCTCCATACAGTGTCGATCACATCTAAGAACCAAAATGTGTGCCTGAAGCCACAGTTCTGTGATACCAGTAGTTTATTTTTAAATTGTCATTAATGATTTGCTTCTGAAACAACTTGGAAAATGTGCAGTCAATAGTGTGATTTTACCCCCCCCCCCCAAACGAGGACACATAACGTCTTAGTCTTTGATTGAAAGAGAACATCTAAATGTCCACATGGACAATGACATATGTACCCATTTTTCATAGTTTACATTTTTTTGACCTCCATTAAAATTATGAACTCAACCCATGTCTGTTCATAATTGATGTATGAGACCCTACCTACATTCTGCTATCCTCTTACTGACTCTCCTTGACTGTCCTGATTTCCAGCAGGAATCGGACATTTACATGATCTTGAGTTGACATTACCTTGGGCTTTGACTTGAGGGAGTTAGGGGGATATAAGTTACAAAATTAGAAAGTGGAGCATGTCAAACTGTGGGACAAATCCCTGTTCTGCTGTTGGGTAGTGTATTGAAGTCATGGTATCCATCACTCCCAGCCACGATGCCCGCGGGAGAAGACCCATGTAGCTGTGCTATAGGCGGAGGGCCACTCGTGGAAACATGCTTGTAATTAGGTCGACAGAGAAGGAAGAGGCGAGGCAAAGAAAGTGGCACCACCTTAAAGCAGAGTAAATATTGAGATTCATTTTTCCTCATGCAAGGTGACCCCAATAACTCAACCTCGATAGAGCCTAGTCTATTTCTGTCTAGTACTCCCCCCCCCCACCTAGTTTTAAACCCATTTTTCGCTCTGGTAAACTGCTGGTATCTCTGTGGCTGGCTAGCTACAACAAGTGCTACTATTTTATAGGGCAGATAATGGCTGGTAGCCTCACAAGCCATCTGGTGTGATACAAAATAATTGGCTTTTCAACCTCATTGAACAATAGTCCAGTCCAATAGCAAGTGCTTCTGTTCTGTGTGAGCAAATCAGATGGGTATTGGTCAATTAAGCACCATTGCAATTTTCTCCATTATCTGACACGGTATGAAGATTCATTTCTAAATTGACTTATGACTGTCCATTTGTATTATCTGCATGTTTTACCTCTTATTCTGATAGATATGATACACATTTCTTTCTACATCCATCTCCCTCTGAAATTCTACTACAAGTTAAATATAATTGAGATTCTTTAAACGTTAGCTGGGAAAAGGTAAGTCTTTACCTTCCAATATATGTTTTTATCAAAATTAAAGGGCACAAAAACAGGAAATAGGAATATGTTTCTCAGATAGACAGATTGTAAAATTACTGACATTTTTTGCACCATTTAAAGCAATTGCTATTATTTTATGCTCTATTCAAAATGATTTAACCAACAATTAAGCAATGTCTAATTGTGACTGAAGTACCTGAGAAACATATTGTTAAGCAACTCCCCTTAAAAAGTATCTATCTGCGTTAGGCAGAAGTGTATTGGCCCAGATAAGATGTAAAACTGAAACCCTCTCAAGCTGATATGTTAAAGAGAAATATTAGTAATGGGTGAGATCAGGTAAGGAATGTATTTTGGTGATAAACTTCTGGTCTTGCAAATTGTGCTCTCCTTATCCTTTGTCCAGGTGGAAGTGAAAAAGGCTGAACCTCGGGACAGCAAAGCTCCTGGCCAACTTGAACCTAACCAATGGGGACCCAGAGGCATCCTGAGTGCAGCCAATGGTTGGTCGGCACAGCCTGCCCAGGGCTGGCAGCAGAGTTATGGCCCTCCTGGTGAGTGGGAGACCAGCCAGAGCAGAGAACACAACTCGTTCTCTCAGACCAGGAAAATGACATTCTATTATACCTAGGAGAAAGATGGTATTGGAAACCGTTAAAATGCCTGATGCCTTTTGTTATATTAACATTGTATTTCTAGGTCCGCATTGAAACTTTACTTTGAGGAATGATCAACGTACTGACTGTACAGTACTGTAGTTACAAATTACATATTGAGGAATTGGTTTTGTGCCAGCATAAATATACTCAAATATTTTCTCTTTTGAAGGAGTCTGGGTGTCTACAGGCCAGCCCTTGGGTACGTTTAGTCTTTGAATCACTTTACTTTTTCGGACATTTCTCACTAACTTGCTTTTTAAAATAGTAAGCTATTGTCTTGTAATGGTTAACTTATCAAGAAAGTATTGTGTCATAGACATTGCCTTGCACTTTTATATTTTATGTATTGACCAATTGGGTTAAGCACCAGTGTTCTCACGGTGTCAGCTGGAATGGCTGAGGGCACTCTGATAATTTCCGTCTAGAGACAGATAATGGACTTATTATCATTATTCTTAACTCTCTTCACCCTTCCTTAAGTCTTATATCATACAACCCCAAACCACCCCAGCGGTGAAAATGATATCTAATATACAGTGTCTACTGACAGTGGGTTTCAACCAGGATATATCCAAGACTGAAAATGTACCAATAGACACCTGTCATCATGTGTTCAGTAGCTGTTGTGTTCTGTCTGACTCAGGTGGGTACGGACCCCCTTTATCTGTGGGCCGTGGAGCTCCCGCCCAGCCCCCCTCACCGTTCAACGCATTCCTCGTCACAACGACCCCGGCGGGGGGTTTTGGGGCACCTCAGGCCTTCGCTCAGCAGGGATACAGCACACCACCTCAGTTTGGTCAGTATCTGCACTGTATTGTCATAAGAAAAGCATTTTTCTATTCATGTAAATGGATTTGTTTTCATATTGCCAATATTGCAATAAACAATATTGTTATGCCCTCAAAAATTATTACAGCGTTTTGTAAAAAATAACAATCATTGCTTTATGAAGAATGTTTTTGCCAAATGTACAAATTCCTCCTCAAGAAACTCAAATAACAGTGCGAGTTTCAAATGCAGGCATCGTTAAAAGTCAGGTCAAACTGAGGAAAATAATTGTTATTTCAACACCAGCTTTGTCGTGAAAAAATTAATAGCTGGTCTGCAGCACTAACAGTAATGTAACGGCAACAGTAACACATGTTTAGAGTTCTCAAATATTTTTTAGTTATCTTCACAAGAACGTTAATATCGTCTTCACAATATATAATTTTTTTATACTGCCAATGTATGATTACATCCTAACATCGTCCAACCCTACTGCCTAGGCTGACAATGGTTGTTGTATGATTATTTAGATTATAATAAAATGAAAATATATCATACCGGTGATCTTTCATAGTTCGGAATGTACAACATTATAACTACTCTTCCATCTGGCACTGGTTTAGGGTACACTTTTGGCACACCTCAAGGTGAGCAGTATGCCCTACAAGGAGTGCCACCCCCGCCCACGACTCCGGTAACAGGGCCGCTAGGGTTTGTTCCAGCCACCACACCTACTCAGGACATCAGCAAAGCACCCACGGGACAGCCAGACTTCCCTTACAGCCAATATGGTAAGTAGAGCCTCCATGCAGTCCTCAGCCCCACCCTCTACCTTGCTGTTATTATGGCTTATACTGGATAGATCCATTTTGTTGGATGCTTTATTGGGTCAAACAACCCGTCCTCCCTAGCCAAAGCTCATTACTACAACCCTAAAACAAGCAGGAGCTTGCCCCTTTGGTACCATGTAGCTTTAACGACATCACATGCATACACACGCTTGCATACATACCCCCCCCCCCCCCGGCTTGGCCATGAAGATGCCATAGAAGTCCCACCATACCCAGGACTCTTCAGTGTCACCCTTTTCAGAATATTCCAGGTAGGGCTGTGTAATGATGTGGATGGGTAACCAATGATGGGTTTGAATTAGATCATCCTGCCTCGCAATGTTGTTTTTGAGAGGAGTTGGAATGCCCACCAAACTGCAGACATACCTAGGAAGATACTATATTTTACTGGCAAAGGTTACAGGCAGTTTGACCAATTGTTCCCTTTTTGGTATTGACTTGGCTGGCTTTTCTCTCCTGGCATGAGCTCCATGGTGTCAATGGATCCTGCACATAATATTTATCCTGAAAGTAATTGGTCTGAAACCTATCTTTCCCCGCAAACAAATATGAAAGCTGTTCTGAGAAGACTCAAGGCAATGCATCAGTATGCAATGTATCAGGATTTTTTTCGATTCCTCTCCAATTATACTTATTGTACCAAGTTGGGTACAAATAAATCCAGCATTGTCATCAACTGAGGGGCTCTTGCATGAGGTCTCTTCCTCCTTAGTAAACAAAATGCCTTGGTAAGTCCTTGCTTTTTGAAAAGTTCATTTATGTTGCTTAGTTAGTTCATTCTGTCTGCCCCCTCCTCGTCCCCAATGGCATTTGTCCTTAGTGAACAAAAAACTGTGGGGAGAGACAGACCTAGATATCTTGTTTAGTTAATGGCTCGTACACAGTACAGTGCATTTGGAAAGTATTCAGACCCCTTGACTTTTTCCACATTTTGTTACGTTACAGCCTTATTCTAAAATGGATTAAATGTTTTTCCTCATCAATCTACACACAATACCCCATAATGACAAAGCGAAAACAGGTTTTTAGACATTTTAGCAAATGAATTAAAAATAAAGTACATAAATACCTTATTTACGTAAGTATTCAGACCCTTTGCTATGAGACTCGAAATTGAGCTCAGGTGCGTCCTGTTTCCATTGATCATCCTTGAGATGTTTCTACAACTTGATTGGAGTCCACCTGTGGGAAATTCAATTGATTGGACATGATTTGGAAAGACACACACCTGTCTAGATAAGGTCCCACAGTTGACAGTGCATGTCAGAGTAAAAACCAAGCCATGTGGTCGAAGGAATTGTCCGTATAGCTCCGAGACAGGATTGTCGAGGCACAGATCTGGGGAAGGGTACCAAAAAATGTCTGCAGCATTGAAGGTCGCCAAGAACACAGTGGCATCCATCATTCTTAAATAGAAGAAGTTTGGAACCACCAATACTCTTCCTAGAGCTGGCCGCCCAGCCAAACTGAACAATCGGGGGAGAAGCGCTTTGGTCAGGGAGGTGACCAAGAACCCGATGGTCACTCTGAAAGAACTCCAGAGTTCCTCTGTGGCGATGGGAGAACCTTCCAGAAGGACAACCATCTCTGCAGCACTCCACCAATCAGGCCTTTATGGTAGAGTGGCCAGACGGAAGCCACTCCTCAGTAAAAGGCACATAACAGCCCACTTGGGAGTTTGCCAAAAGGCACCTAAAGACTCTCAGACCATGAGAAACAAGATTCTCTGTTCTGATGAAACCAAGATTGAACTCTTTGACCTGAATGCCAAGAGTCACGTCTGGAGGAAACCTGGCACCATCCCTATGGTGAAGCATGGTGGTGGCAGCATCATGCTGTGGGGATGTTTTTCAGCGGCAGGGACTGGGAGACTAGTCGGGATCGAGGAAAAGATTAACAGAGCAAAGTAAAGAGATACTTGATGAAAACCTGCTCCAGAGCGCTCAGGACATCAGACTGGGGCGACGGTTCACCTTCCAACAGGACAACGACCCTAAGCACACAGCCAAGACAACGCAGGAGTGGCTTCAGTCCAAGTCTCAATGTCCTTGAGTGGCCCAGCCAGATCCCGGACTTGAACCCGATCGAACATCTCTGGAGAGACCTGAAAATAGCTGTGCAGCGACGCTCCCCATCCAACCTGACAGAGCTTGAGAGGATCTGCAGAGAAGAATTGGAGAAACTCCCCAAATACAGGTGTGCCAAGCTTGTAGCGTCATACCCAAGAAGACTCGAGGCTGTAATCGCTGCCAAATGTGCTTCAACAAAGTACTGAGTAAAGGGTCTGTATACTTATGTAAATGTGATATTTCTGTTTATTTTTAATACATTTGCAAAAATGTCTTTACCTGTTTTTGCTTTGTCATTATGGGGTATGGTGTGTAGATTGATGAGGGAAATAAACAATTGAATCCATTTTAGAATAAGGCTGTAACGTAACAATGTGGGAAAAGTCGAGGGTAGAATACTTTCCGAATGCACTGCATAAGTTGTATATATCCCTGTAACTGTCAGTTGTGAGATTCCCATCTTGTTCAGTGTTTCATGCTTGTGCTTTGCCTACCCATCCTGCTCTTTCCCGTTAGCATTAGCTGCCTACTTTAGAATCATTTAGTAAGGTAACCATAGGCAGCAAAGGGCATTAGCAAGTAGCCCCCCATTCACCTTATGTGTTTGTAATTCCAGATGGATGTGTGCAGTGATGGTAGGAGTCTAAGAGCAATCAGAGGGAGTACAGTTATTTAGTGTTAAGCCAAGCCCTAGTGCCAGGTCTAAGAAGGGGACAATGTTAAAGTAAAGTAGACTGTCTGGGTTACGTCAACCTAGTCTCCTCGTCTCCCTGATAGGCTTGAGTATCTACCCTCAGGAGCCCTCTTCCTACGGACCAACGCGTCCTTCTCACAGTAATGGTCAGGATGTGCAGGGAGGAAGTAGTGCAGGTAGGTGTGAGCATTGTCTTTTCCAACCACCAAAAGTACAGTTCTATATGTAGTCGTATAGCTGCTACGTCAATGTTCCTTTGCGTCCCTTTCCCCTGTATGTGCTTTTGTATGTTTGTGCATACAAAGTACATACTTCTAGAGTATACTAAAATACAGCTACAGTATTCAATGATTTGAGATTGAGATCTTTTTGAATGACCTAATCTCATGGTATGAAAAATCTGCTTTATTTTAGATCCAGAATAATAAAACAATGAACAGGGTTACATGCCTGTTGAATGTTAACACGTCTCATTTCCTAGTGTAGCTGTAGTTTATTATACCAACAACACCTGGTCCTCAGATTTTTTTGTCCACTCTGCCTTGCTTTGCCGGTAAAAAATATGATCTAATTGACTAAATGTGTTCATGGTATAATATGTTTAACATTTTCATTTTGCTCTCTGTTGTTGAAAGTGTTAGCAGTCAATTCACTTGCTGTTTTTCCAATATGCCATCTCCTTTTGACAGCTAAAAGATGATAATCAGAGGAAAGATTGTATGAAGAAACAAACACTTGTGGCTGGTGAATGAATACCCCATTTCTATTTGATTTCTCAGGTCATATTAAGTCTCTGCTCTTCCAAATTTTTCTTCCAGCCTTGTAGTGCTTTGAGCACCTTGTGGGAAAGTTTGCTTGTATTCTTCTATAATTTCTGTTTCATTTATTTTCTTTTTTCGTTACTCTGTACTGTCCGACATGAGTTGCAACTGTTCAGCCTGATCTGCACTGAATGTCTATGCAGTTCCCTGCTTCTCCGACTACAGTGGATTGCAGGGAGATGGAGCCACCCAGTGTCTATTAAAAAACAAAACAAAAACTTTGCATGTGGGACTAACAACTGAATAAGCATTTGTTATACTGTTTTCCTTTTGTTGAATCCTCTAACAGTTCAGATTACATCTTTGAATCCTCAAAATAATATACCAATTGATTTACACTGGAAGCGTTCAGTCTTAACTGGCTAACCAAACTCAGAATTTTGGGTCATGGAGGCTCATGAAGGAAGGAAGACAATATTTAACATGAACATTAAAAAGCCCTGAAACTATGATCAATGCTGTATTTATTTTGGGTAAAATAAGGGACTTTCACTCAGCTGGTTGGTATCTGTTTGGTAATGAGCGCCATTTATGATCGTGATAATGAACCTCTCTTCCCTGTTCTCCACCCACCCGCACAGGTTATGGTCAGGACCTGAGTGGATTTGGCCATACTTTCGCAGACCCCAGCCAGCAGACTGCTTCATACGGGGCACCAACAGCACAACCGGCGGCGGGCCCTCAGCCTACAGCAGCCGTTTTTGCTCGAGGACAGAATCACAACGTAACGGGCTTCCATCCATACAGGCGCTGAGAGTCTCCAACCGCCACAGCGCTCAGTTCTAAAGTCAGGGAAATGTGTTCTGGTCATAAGCAAAACTGGATTTCTGTGTTTTTGTTTGGAACACAAAAAATTGACACAATTTGGGAAAAAAGTGAACTCTCATAAAACCAGGGATTCCAATTACTTATGTTACAATGTCACTTGATGTAAAAGTTGATAAGACTTTTGCATAACCTTCCTTTCAAATGTTGAAATGAAATAACCTTTGTTTCTCCCCACATGTTTTATAGTAGGACTTAACTACTTTGCAATAGGTTTTGATTGTCTGGTCAAACATTAGCACAGAGAATATGTGTGTGTGTGTGTGTGTGTGTGTGTGTGTGTGTGTATATTTATGCCGGATACAGACATATGTATATTTATGCCGGATACAGAAATGAAAACAGGGTCTCAAGTTTCCTCAGCTTTAAATTCTAGGAAAAATGTTTTTATTTTTAATTTGGTTGATTGTGTTTATTTTCTGAGCTGTTATTTTAAAGTTAGGAAAATATGAATATATATTATACACAAACTGCAATTTTTTAAAATAATTTTGTACGAAAAATGTACACTGCTTGTTTTTTTATTTAAACATATAGACTTCCCTCAGGTGGCTGTTTCTGAGTGCATTTTGCACTTATGCAAAAAGAAAGGAATTTATTTCAAATAAATGTTTTAAAGATATCCTGCCTCTTGTTGCTGTCAATATTAGGAAGGTGTTCCTAATGTTTGATATACTTGGTGTATATTCTGTTTGAGACCCAGCAAAAAAAAGAAACGTCCTCACTGTCAACTACGTTTATTTTCAGCAAACTTAATGTGTAAATATTTGTATGAACATAACAAGATTCAACAACTGAGACATAAACTGAACAACTTCCACAGACATGTGACTAACAGAAATTGAATAATGTGTCCCTGAACAAAGGGGGGGTCAAAAGTAACAGTCAGTGTCTGGTGTGGCCACTAGCTGCATTAAGTACTGCAGTGCATCTTCTCCTCATGGACTGCACCAGATTTGCCCGTTCTTGCTGTGAGATGTTAACCCACTCTTCCACCAAGGCACCTGCAAGTTCCCGGACATTTCTGGGGGGAATAGCCCTAGCCCTCACCCTCCGATCCAACAGGTCCCAGACGTGCTCAATGGGATTGAGATCCGGGCTCTTCGCTGGCCATGGCAGAACACTGACATTCCTGTCTTGCAGGAAATCACGCACAGAACAAGCAGTATGGCTGGTGGCATTGTCATGCTAGAGGGTCATGTCAGGATGAGCCTGCAGGAAGGGTACCACATGAGGGAGGAGGATGTCTTCCCTGTAACGCACAGCGTTGAGATTGCCTGCAATGACAACAAGCTCAGTCCGATGATGCTGTGACACACCGCCCCAGACCATGACGGACCCTCCACCTCCAAATCGACCCGCTCCAGAGTACAGGCCTCGGTGTAACGCTCATTCATTCGACGATTAAACGCGAATCCAACCATCACCCCTGGTGAGACAAAACCGCGACTCGTCAGTGAAGAGCATTTTTTGCCAGTCCTGTCTGGTCCAGCGACGGTGGGTTTGTGCCCATAGGCGACGTTGTTGCCGGTGATGTCTGTTGAGGACCTGCCTTACAACAGGCCTACAAGCCCTCAGTCTAGCCTCTCTCAGCCTATTGCGGACAGTCTGAGCACTGATGGAGGGATTGTGCGTTCCTGGTGTAACTCGGGCAGTTGTTGCCATCCTGTACCTGTCCCACAGGTGTGATGATCGGATGTACCGATCCTGTGCGGGTGTTGTTACACGTGGTCTGCCACTGCGAGGACGATCAGCTGTCCGTCCTGTCTCCCTGTAGCGCTGTCTTAGGCGTCTCCCAGTACGGACATTGCAATTTATTGCCCTGGCCACATCTGCAGTCCTCATGCCTCCTTGCAGCATGCCTAAGGCACGTTCACTCAGATGAGCAGGGACCCTGGGCATCTTTCTTTTGGTGTTTTTCAGAGTCAGTAGAAAGGCCTCTTTAGTGTCCTAAGTTTTCAAAAATGTGACCTTAATTGCCTACCGTCTGTAAACTGTAAGTGTCTTAACGACCGTTCCACAGGTGCATGTTCATTAATTGTTTATGGTTCATTGAACAAGCATGGGAAACAGTGTTTAAACCTTTTCACAATAAAGATCTGTGAAGTTATTTGGATTTTTAAGAATTATCTTTGAAAGACAGGGTCTGGAAAAAGGGACGTTTCTTTTGTTTGCTGAGTTTATAATTTGTTGGAGCATCTACATGAATCATCAAGGGGTAGGGGCTGTGTTGTTTCTGGATGGGGCCACAGTCTGTGGAAAAAAACACCCATGGTCATTTTCAAGGGTAAGTAGAATTACCATAATCATGGACCAGGTTCCCTCAATATCAACAAAAACCTGAATATGTCAAACCCAAACGGGTAGGGACCCCCCAAAAATTATGAAGGTACATTTGCATACACATAAACACTGAACACCTAGGCCTTTCAAACTCAACTCTGGACCTCGAAGCCAGTTCCACTGCATTTTTTCATTGTTCCCTTCTAATCCGGGACTGATTTAGAACTGGAACACCAGGTAGGTGCAATTAATCAGGTGCAACCAAAAACCAACTGGCTCTGGACCTATTAGGGTCAAAGTTTAATACCCCTGATTTATGGTTTTCTCTCCTCAAGGTAATGCCTATATAGGCTTTAGCTCAGCAAGCTAACAATTCTCCATTGTGCAGATGACATTTTCAAACCCAGTTGGTCTCATGCTTAGACCATGGAATAGCCATTAAATATTATTTTGCCTCATGGCACAGAACTTTTGGGTGAATTTTCTCTTAAGTACCATTATATATCGAGAATAAAGTTGAAATGAAACTTCAAGAATAACGTCAAGATTTCGAGAACAAAGTCGCCGTTATATTTCAAGATTCAAGGGTTTGGTTAATTACGTGCCTCCCTGGCTCCCTGTTGCTGAGCAACTGTTGAAATGCCTGAGTTGGATGACCTGGTGAAACTATACTTTAGATTTGGCTTTAGTAACGAGGAAATCGTTGCTCTTTTAGCACGTAACCATAATATTATAAGTATAAGGACCTGGAAAAGGTTGTGCCACAGATTGGGTCTTTTCAGAAGGAGGAACCAACCACACGAATTTGGATGATGTATGTGACAGGTAGTCCCTGTCATGGTGCCCTTCGAATTCGCTACAATGTTATCCTCAATCCCCTGCATGCCAACACCTTGTATATCTTTAGAGAGTAACAGCTAGGCCAGCAGCCTATTGTGTCGAAACTAAAGGTTAATTTACAAATCTGTGCGTAATGGCATGGTGTTTTATGTACACTTCCAATGAAGTAGCATAGGCCTAGACTTGTTTTGTGAATGTAAGTGATGGATTACGTGGAGGATTGCGTGTCCCCTGTCGGGCTCAAGGGCTGCCCCCAAACCCCTGCCATGGACCTTGCATAGCCACGGGGCAGGGGTTTGGGTAAAGCCCCGTCTGAGACAGCAATTTTATGGTGTCGTGTATGAAGATTATGACTAGTCTTGAGGGACAAAGAAGAACTGTTTATCTTAGTTTGAATGTAGCAGTTGGAGGGTGACGCCCCAGGGGAGACCGGTGATTGGACGAAAAAGGGAGCAACCCATTTATTGCCATTGTTTATAAGTATGGGTTAGACAAAGGAGGGGTCAGAAGCATTCAGATTAATTTGGGACGGGGCTTCTCCAGACACCGCGGGTCTGTAACTTATGCTGTAACCTTGTGATATTAATAAAAGCCTCTAATCACGGTGCAGCCTAAGCGGACTCCTTGATTGACAGCAATAATTGCCAGCATTCACCCGATACGACAATGGTCCATTATTATAACCTAACAGGTCTAGCCACTAGCCGCCATAAGGTGAATTAATGGTAGCTGATACAAATGCATAGCCTATAACGGAGACGATGCCCCTGTTTTGGGATAACATGTGTTGCAGCGAATTTGGAGAGCAGTTCGACATGGACACATACGCATAGCCCCTGGTCTCCAGGATCCCAAGATAATTTGTTTCATTGTGTGTGCTCACGTAGCCTTCTAGCCTACCCTGTAGTCGTTAGGAGAGTTGCCATATGGGGGAAATACTACTATTAGTAAAACACTATGGATAAGGTCGTTAATAGTTACCATTACGCACATAATTTTTGTTCCCCCCTATTCAGAACTTCCCTTTCGCCATAGGCCTAGCTGTTAGACTCTCTAAGCAACTGTATGTACAGTGAGGGAAAAAAGTATTTGATCCCCTGCTGATTTTGTACGTTTGCCCACTGACAAAGAAATGATCAGTCTATAATTTTAATGGTAGGTTTATTTGAACAGTGAGAGACAGAATAACAAAAAAAAAATCCAAAATGTTATAAATTGATTTGCATTTTAATGAGGGAAATAAGTATTTGACCCCATCTAAATCAGAAAGATTTCTGGCTCCCAGGTGTCTTTTATACAGGTAACGAGCTGAGATTAGGAGCACACTCTTAAAGGGAGTGCTCCTAATCTCAGTTTGTTACCTGTATAAAAGACACCTGTCCACAGAAGCAATCAATCAATCAGATTACAAACTCTCCACCATGGCCAAGACCAAAGAGCTCTCCAAGGATGTCAGGGACAAGATTGTAGACCTACACAAGTCTGGAATGGGCTACAAGACCATCGCCAAGCAGCTTGGTGATAAGGTGACAACAGTTGGTGCGATTATTCGCAAATGGAAGAAACACAAAAGAACTGTCAATCTCCCTCGGCCTGGGGCTCCATGCAAGATCTCACCTCGTGGAGTTGCAATGATCATGAGAACGGTGAGGAATCAGCCCAGAACTACACGGGAGGATCTTGTCAATGATCTCAAGGCAGCTGGGATCATAGTCACCAAGAAAACAATTGGTAACACACTACGCCGTGAAGGACTGAAATCCTGCAGCGCCCGCAAGGTCCCCCTGCTCAAGAAAGCACATATACATGCCCGTCTGAAGTTTGCCAATGAACATCTGAATGTGAAAGTGTTGTGGTCAGATGAGACCAAAATTGAGCTCTTTGGCATCAACTCAACTCGCCGTGTTTGGAGGAGGAGGAATGCTGCCTATGACCCCAAGAACACCATCCCCACATTATGCTTTGGGGGTGTTTTTCTGCTAAGGGGACAGGACAACTTCACCGCATCAAAGGGACGATGGACGGGGCCATGTACCGTCAAATCTTGGGTGAGAACCTCCTTCCCTCAGCCAGGGCATTGAAAATGGGTCGTGGATGGGTATTCCAGCATGACAATGACCCAAAACACACGGCCAAGGCAACA